GTTATTTCTTCCACCAATGGGGAGAGGGATGGAGACCTATCAAAAGGTGGGAATTAATCTTCCTTCCGAGATACCTGCCAGGTGGGGGTAAAAACAGGTAGTAGCCCTGCTGAGATGAAGGGGGAACAAACATTTAAAGAAGAAAAACCGGCACTGGATTATAGCACTTTCTGGAATGGAGTCTCCAGGAAGGAAATTCTCATAGCTGTACAGCAAAGTTTAACGGATCGTTCCTTGCCTGGGGCATCTGCTTGGGACACCAACGTCTTCACCCCTCTTTGGTCCTTCAGCCAAGCCCCAGCCTAAGCCCCTCCCACCCAGGTGCCCCCCTCCCCAAAAGAGCGGCAGAGCAGAGACCGGGAAAACCCAGCCCTTCCTAAAGTTTGGTCTGGACAAACAGGAGCAGCTTCTCCAGCTCAGCCTCTAAGGACAGTTCATCTCCATCGTTGGTGATGACCCAGTCAAAAGGGACGCCTTGGTCTAACCCGCACTCGGATTCCGCGTCGTCAATTCCTGGGTGGGGGGGGGGCGGGAAAAAAAAAAGATGGGAGGAAAAAAAGATTTGAACTTCAGATCTTCCCGCTTCGAGTCAAATGGAAAATCGGTGGCTTTTGCAAACACGCACACACCCAAGGCGCCCGGCTGGAAGAGGCTGCCATCCACTGTTCTCCGGAGTTTCTTAAGGACTAGAAACTTAGCAGCCCTGGCTTTTGCAAACACGCACACACCCAAGGTGCCCGGCTGGAAGAGGCTGCCATTCACTGTTCTCCGGAGTTTCTTAAGGACTAGAAACTTAGCATCCCTGGCTTTTGCAAACACGCACACACCCAAGGTGCCCGGCTGGAAGAGGCTGCCATTCACTGTTCTCCAGAGTTTCTTAAGGACTAGAAACTTAGCAGCCCTGGCTTTTGCAAACACGCACACACACAAGGTGCCCAGCTGGAAGAGGCTGCCATCCACTGTTCTCCGGAGTTTCTTAAGGACTAGAAACTTAGCAGCCCTGGCTTTTGCAAACACGCACACACACAAGGTGTCCGTCCGACACGTTCGCACCGTCCCACTTTTACCTGCCACAAACACCCATTTCCGTCTTCGCCGCGTCTCCTCCGTGGCGATCACCCTCACGACTTGCACCAGGTCCCCGTACACGTCTCGAAACCACTCCACATCCGAGGATCGGCGGGTGTCACACACAATCTGGGTAGCAAGGTTGGGAGAGGGAGAGAAAGGAGAAAAAAAAAATGACCCCTTGGGGGACCCGAGTTCGAATGCCGCATTCTGCTCCTCCCTGGTTTTAAGTCGATTTGCCCCATTCGCCCAGCCCAGCCAAGGAACCAAGATGGGTGTTGGGAGTCGGTCCTCAAGGCAACCTCAGCTAGTCCTCGACTTACGACGATTCGTTTAGTGACCGTTTGAAGTTGTGGCAGTGGAAAAAGGGACTTACGGATGTTTTTTCACCCTTACGACCGTTGTAGCACCCCCGCGGTCACGGGATCAAAATTAAGACACTCGGCCACTGACTCATATTATGACGGTCACAGTGTCCCCCTTTTGCGACTCCCTTTTGCGACGTGACTCCCTTTTGCGACCTTCCCACAAGCAAAGTCAACGGGGGAAAGCCAGATTCACTAAACAACCATGTTTCTAACTTAACAACAGCAGCGGTTCACTTAAGAACGCTGGCGAGAAAGGTCGTAAAATGGGACAAAATTCACTTCGCTTCCTTCTCGCTGAGCAACGGAAATTTTAGGCTGAACTGCGGTCGTAAGTCGCTTGCATATTCACCCTAACCCTTACCCAGATGGGTTGCGTCAGGCCCTCCACCACAATGCGGCAAAAGAAACCGGGATCGCTTTGGCGTCGTTCTTCGCCCCAGCGGATCATGTCTTCCCGATACAGCTCCTTGTAATCGCTGGCGTCCAAAAGACGCTGGAAGTCCAGGCCGTGTTCCTACGTGCAAGAAAACCGACATTTTCCTCTGCAATTCTCCAAATTCAATTCCTTAAAATCCCCAAAAAAGGTTCTAATTCACCTGCGGAACTCACCACCCCATGAAAAGCCTTAAAGCGAGAACCTGACAAATCGCTCCATTCCCGGGAGCACAATGTCCTTTTAATCCTATCAATTTTTAAGTACACCAAGGATTTATGCAGGGTTGTTTTTTTAAAAAAAAAATTCAAAATTTTGCACTCCGATCAATCCAGGTTCTATCCCCAAAAATCCACATAATAAAAAAAAAAATACGTTTTAAACCAAGCTATCTATTTAATTGGCGTTTCGTGCTCAAATAAAATCAGATTCTACCGAAAAAACCCAAATAACAAACACAATCAGTTTTAAATTAAATTACCTATTGAATGAGGGTGTCATGCTCAAATAAATCCAGGATCTCACCAAACCTTCCCAGATAGTTAAAAAAAACAAGGCACAATAAATCCGTTTNGGGGCATTGCCAAACCAGTGCCAGCCTTGCAGAGAGGCACGTGGAGGGGTGGGTGGGCTTGGCAGGCAGCCCACCCACCTCGTCCATCCTGCAAAGGGCCCGCCCCCTTCCTCTCCAATGCAAGGCGACCCCCCACCAATATTTTTTGCACATGCATCCCTGCCCTTTTTTAATATTTATATATATATATATATATATATATATATATATATATATATATATATATATATATATATATATATATATATATATATATATATAAAAAAAAATATTACCGGCTTTGGATTTCTTCGGCCACGAAATCTTTGCCCGATTTTCGCTTCCCGCTGAACAGCAGCACCAGCTTCGGAAACGGCGCCATGGCGGGAGCTGAGCGCCGCAGCAACTTTCTCTGCTCCCACCCCCGTCCGGCCGGATGGTCTCGTCCGGGCCCGAACGTTCCATCCGCGCGCTTCCGCCTCCCTCGCTTCGCACCAATGGAAGCGGCCCGGGCTCCGCCGCGCGCAGAGCGGGCGCGACCATTTCGGAGGGGAGGGGAGGAGGAGGAGGAGAAAGGTCCCACAAAACGAAGCGCCCCAGCAGCGTAGGAAGAATGAAATTAGCCTGAATCACGGGAGGAGGCGGGGCAGGGCTGGCTCCGAAGGGGGCGGAGCTTCCACTAACCACGCCTACGTACATTGCCTGCCGGAAACAGCAATATCAAGTTTGTTTTTTTCTTTTTTTTCCCCTCTTTTTCATTTTCTTCCTTCCTTTCTCTCCTTCTTTTTCTTTTCTCTCTCTCTCCCTCGCTCTTTTTTCATTTTCTTTCTTCCTTCTCCTCTCCTTTTCCTTTCTTTCTTTCTTTCCCTCCCTTTCTTTTTCATTTTCTTCCTTCTTTTTCTCTCCTTTTTCTTTCTCTTTTCTTTCTCTCTCCCTCCCTTTTTCTTTCTTTTTCATTTTCTTTCTTCCTTCTCCTTCTCTCCTTTTCCTTCCTTTCTCTTTCTTTCTTTCTCTCCCTCCCTTTCTTTTTCATTTTCTTCCTTCCTTCCTTCTCCTCTCCTTTTTCTTTTCTCTCCCTCCCTCTTTTTTCATTTTCTTCCTTCCTTCTCCTCTCCTTTTCCTTCCTTTCTCTTTCTTTCTCTCCCTCCCTTTTTCATTTTCTTCCTTCTTTTTCTCTCCTTTTTCTTTCTCTTTCCCTCCCTTTTTCTTTCTTTTTCATTTTCTTTCTTCCTTCTCCTTCTCTCCTTTTCCTTCCTTTCTCTTTCTTTCTTTCTCTCCCTCCCTTTCTTTTTCATTTTCTTCCTTCCTTCTCCTCTCCTTCTTTTTGTTTTCTCTCTCCCTCCCTCTTTTTTCATTTTCTTCCTTCCTTCTCCTCTCCTTTTCCTTCCTTTCTCTTTCTTTCTTTCTCTCCCTCCCTTTCTTTTTCATTTTCTTCCTTCTTTTTCTCTCCCTTTCCTTCCTTTTTCTTTCTCTCTCTCCCTCCCTTTCCTTCCTACATTCCCTCCTTCCTTCCCTCCCTGCCACTGGCATTTCTAGGCTGCATTTTCCATTGAAAAGGTCTTTCACGGCTGTGGGCCCAGAGAGGGTTAGATGGGATCGCCCATCACGCACAGCCAGGAGGATGATGGGGGCTGTAGTCCAAGCGCTAGAGATGGGGAAAGGTAGAAACGGGAGGTAGAAACGACGGCCCTTCTCCTTTCCTAGATCTACTCAGGTACCTGCTTGGTGCCTGCACCTTTCGGGTGCGTGGATCGAGTTGCCTGGGGGGGCTTCAAGGCTCCTGGCCTGCACAAAGAGACCCCCGTCCTGCCTCCGAGAAAAGAATTTGCTACTTCCTCCACCCCCAGGATGCTTTTAGGTGATTTATATGGTCTTTTTTTTTTCAGAGCAGAATTCCAAAATAGGTAAAGGAAAAAGATGAGTGGGGACACTCCTACTTTGCCGCACAACGACCCTGCCGAGTAGGCCGGGCCCAGAGACAGAAGCCGGCTCCAAGCTTCCCTTTAGCAGCTGATAAAGATACTCTCGTCCAGCCCCTACGGAGCAAGACCACCCCCCCCCCTTGTCCTTCTCCAGAGCAGTTCAAGGAAATCTTTGTTCTAAATCAGTGCTTTTATTGGCGGTTGGACACACAAGTGCAATAACAGACCGGGGGAAATAAGAGTGTCGGGAGTGTCATGCGGAGAGAAATTGGGCAACTCCCTGGCATTTAAGCCCCCGAGGCTGGGGTGGGAAGGGGAGGGAAGGCTTGGGGGAGGGGGGGTTGTCTTTGAACCACTCTTCCGCCAAAACAAAAACGTGCAGGGTCTTTACTGGGTGACGAACCCACAAAGAAGACAATTGTGGAGCCGTGAAACATGTTGGGTCAATCTCTGCAGCTCCTCGTCCGGATTTGGCGAGGTGCTGATTAGCCTCTCGCCTGCCCTGATCGGCTCATGCGGGAAAGCAAGACGGGGACCTAAAGATTTAAGCTAATTTGAAGATAAATCTGGGGGGGGGGGTTTGGGGGGGAAGGAAGAAGTGAAGAGGCCGGAGAAATCTGCGGGCAGAGGGGTAGAGAAGAACATTGGGGTTTCCCGTGAATACAGGTAGTCCTCGACTTACCACGTTTCCTTTAGTGACCGTTCAAAGTTACAACGGCACTGAAAAACAGGACCCAGGATGGGTTTCCCACACTTACGACCTTTGCAGCACCCCCGTAGTCACGTGATCAAAATTCAGACGCTTGGCAACGGACTCGTATTGATGACGGTCGCAGCGTCCCGGGATAATGTGATCCCCTTTTGCGACCGTCTTGACTAATCAATGAGGAAGCCAGATTCGTTTAACAACCGTCTGACCGACTTGTCAGCTGTGGCGACTCCCTGAATGACCGTGGCAAGAAAGGTCGTAAAACGGGGCAACCACCCCCCCTTAGCCAGCGTCTCGCTTAACAGCAGAAACCTGGGGGGCTCCATTGCCGTCGTAAGTCGAGGACTGTCTGCAATTCACCCCAAAACGCGGACTGTGGGAAGGAGATCTCGGAGGCATCAGCTACTAACTTTCACTGGACGTCACTCGGGACATATAAGACGGGATATAAAGATCAAAGAGGGGAGGGGGTAGCCCCCCCCACAAAAGAAAAGTGGCAAGGAAATTAAGAAGGTTCTTCCCTGGAGACTTCCACCAAAGTCCAGATGGCCGAAGGAGGGCTAGCCGTACGCCCGGGTCTTATGAGGGCTCCGCTCTTTGGCGCCGTGTCCATGAGTTGATCTGCAAGAAAGGGAGCAGATGATCACTCAACGGGGATTCCTTCCTTCCTTCTCCCTCCCTCCCTCCTTCCTTCCTTCCCTCTCCTCCGCCTCCTCTTCCTTCCTTCCTTCCCTCTCCTCCGCCTCCTCTTCCTTCCTTCCTTTTCCCTCCCTCTTCCTCCTCCTCCTCTTCCTTCCTCTCTTCCTTCTCCTCCCCTTCCTTCCTTCCTTCTCCCCTTCCTTCCTTCCCTCTTCCTCCTCCTCCTCTTCCTCCCTTCCTCTTCCTCTTCCTCCTCCTCCTTCCTTCCTTCCTCTCTACCTCTTCCCCTTCCTCCCTTCCTCCCTCCTCCCCTTCCTTCTTCCTTCCTTCTCCCTCTTCCTTCTCCCCTTCCTTCCTTCCCTCTTCCTCCTCCTTCTCCTCTTCCTCCCTTCCTCTTCCTCCTCTTCCTTCCTTCCTTCCTTTCTCTCTCTTCCTCCTCCCCTTCCTTCCTCCCTCCCTCCCTCCCTTTTTCTCCTCTCCTTCCTTCTTTCCTTCTTTCCTTACCTGCGCCCGGGGGCCGCCCCAAGCTGCTTCAGGATCACGTCTTCAAAATCGTCCACCCCGTCTTCGCTCACCCCCAGAGACCGGGCCAGCTCTTCCAGGGCATCTTCGATTTTATCCAGAAAGTCCACAAAGCTGACGCGTTCGTGGGCGAAGACCCCCTCGCTGCCGAAATGACCCTCTAGCACCGGGACCAACTCGCCAGCATATTGCCCCCAGCCCAGCCCGGCCAGATAATTCTGCACCAGCTTCAGGAAGGCGTTCTTCTGAACGGGGGCCAGGCCCTCTCGCTGGGCACATTCGGCGACCCCAGAACATCCCTGCGGGGTAGAATAAGGATGCTTGGCCAGCCTCTCCCACAATTCCTGGGGTTCCATCGGCTTTCTGGCTTTCCGGGGTCCCCGCTGGTGGTCTCCACTCCTGGGGGGCTTCGTTTGGTGTCTCTTGGGGTGATGCGGCTCTTTCTCGCTGGCCACTTTGGGGTCCCTGTCCTGGTGCCGAAATTTCTCCTCCCCCTGGTATTTCTTCTGCCAAGATTTCGCTTTTCCCTGCCTGGCTTTCCACGGAACCTGCGGTTCTTTCTCGGCCTCACTGAGGTCTAGCTCCTTGCCCAGCCTCTGCTCCAGGTCTTTAAGTTCCTCCAGAGGAGTTTTTTCAACCAGCCTTCCCAAATCCTGCCGGAAGGAAGCCAGCAAGGAACGCAGGCGATGGAGTTCCTTCTCCTGACGCTCGAGTTTGCCAGGAGGGTGATGGGAGACGGTGTCCTCCCCGGGATGCCGGCGGGATTTGGCATCGCCCGACGGCTCCGGCCTACGGACCTTCTCCCGGAGAAGGTGGATGTCGCTCCGGGCGGCCGAGAGGGCCGCCGTCTCCCGCTTCAAGGCTTCTGCCAAACGCGTGTTTTCCGCAGCCAAATTTTGTTGCACGGAATCGACAGCCAAAGTTTTCACTTCGGACTTCTGTAGCAAAATCTCCAGCTCTTCTTTCTGGGCCTGTGAAGCAAGCAGTAAAAAAAAAAAGAGAGAGAGATTCTGCTCAAGATCTTATTTTTGCCAGTCGAAAAATTCTTAATTTTGCAGTCCAAAGGGTTTCATTTCTGCAGTCAAAAATTCTTATTTTTTGCAATCCAAAAAGGTTTCATTTTTGCAATCAAACAAAATTCTTATTTTTGCAGGCAAAAAAGATTTATTTTTTAGCCCTCCTAAACATTTTATTTTTGCAGTCCGAAAGGCTTTATCTTTGGCAAGCAAAAACGGTCTTGTTTTTGCAGTTTTTTGCAATCAAAAAGATCTCTCTTATTTGCAGTCAAAACGCTCTTATTTTTCCAGTCAAAAACGTCTGAATTTTTGCAATCACAAAGTGCTTATTTTTGCCAACAGAAACGTCTGAATTTTTGCAATCACAAAGCTCTTTATTTTTGCAGTCAAAAAGCTTTTTTTTTTTTTTGGGCACTCAAAAGTTCCTTAATTTTTGCAATCACAAAAAGAGGCCTTACGTTTTGCAGGTTTGGTATAAAAACTGTCCCAGGCTCTAAGCATAGAGGCCTGCCCGATTTTACAGCTTTTTCACTGCCGTCGTTACGCAAACCCAGCTTCCTCATTTGCCCGGCGGGTCTCCCAGTGCCCACCGGTTGTGTGAAGACCCTTCCCCAATACCTGAAGTTCAGCCTGCATCAGTCGGATATCCTGATTTTCCTTGGCTAATTTATCCAGCAAGATTCCCATGGCATCCAAGCTCTTTGGATCCTCAGAAAGAGCTTCCTTGCCTACGCGGAGTTGAGCGTCGTTCGCAGAATCCAGGGAGGGTGACCAGTCCTGGCAGAGGGAGGGCGGAGGGGGGGGAAGAAAAAATGGGGAGGGACCACCTCTTGACCACCATCATGAGGGTTTGACCTGTCCTATCTCTCTACCTGGCAGATCTGGAGCAGGGAAGAGAGAAGCATGGTGGTGTATGGGCCATTATGGTTTCCCAACCTTTAGTGGACTTGAGCAATAGTAATTGTCCCATCTCTTTCCAGGGTCCATGCGCCACTAGTCCTCATGGATCTGGTTAGCTCAGACCTTCTCCAAGACTGTCCGTTTCACTGCTAGCAAAGGTTCGTTGGATTGCAGCGTTGGAAGGAGCCTCAATGATCAATTAGTCGGGGGGGACTTTTAAGATGGATGGACTTCAACTCCCAGAAACCCACAGCCAGCATGAGTAGACTTCAACTCCCAGAATTCCCCAGCCTGTTAACACTGGCTGGGGAATTCTGGGAGTTGAAGTCTACCCATCTTAAATCAAGCTGATAATTTTTTCTTTTTAAAAAAAAAAATGACATCAAGACCGCTGCTTATCTTGTACTCTACCCGTATTTCTCTTATTGGCCCACCTTCTCTGTCACTTCATCTGCCTGCACACAGCTATCCTGCCTTCCTTTTTGCAAACAGATCCTCCCAAGTTCTGTTTTAATCCGTTATTCCAAGGTCTGGATCAGGGATCCACCCATAACCCCATCCCTTTCCTTACCTGTCCACTGTTGGCAGGATGCGGCCCTTCTCCGTCAGAACTCAGCCCCAGGTTCAGCATATCCAGACCTCCTGAAGGTGGAGGTGGGGGGGGGGAGGAACGTGAAAAAAAAATTACAATTTTAAAAAATAGGGGCAGTCCTCAACTTACGACTGTAACTGAGCCTGGAATTACGGTTGTAAATCCATTCAGTGTTTAAGTTGAGGCATCCCGTGGCTGGAGATTTTTTTAAAAAAATAATATTTTTTCAGTAGTCATTTAATGAATGCAGCATTCTGCGCTTAAGGGCAGTGATTCAGTTAAGGACTGTGGCAGAAAAGGTTGCAATATCGGGTGCGACTCCCTTAAGGACCGCCTTGTTTAGCAACAGAAATCCTGTTCTCAACTGAGGTCAAAAGTCAAGGTCTACCTGTACGGAAAAGCATGCAGACCTCGCCCCAAACTCACCGTCCTCGGCCTCAAGAAAGACCCCTGTGGAGAGAAGCAAAAAAGGATTTAGGAGAGAGACAGACAGACAGATATAAAGAGAGAGAGAGAGAGAGAGATATGATGGATTAGAAGATAGATAGATAGATAGATAGATAGATAGATAGATAGACAGACAGACAGACAGACAGACAGACAGACAGACAGACAGACAGACAGACAGACAGACAGACAGGCAAGGAAAGAAGGAAGGAAAGAAGGAAAGGAAGGAAGGAAGGAAGGAAGGAAGGAAGGAAGGAAGGAAGGAAGGAAGGAAGATTGATAGATGATAGATAGACAGACATAAGAGAAATAGGTAAGATAGAAATAGATACACAGAGAGATCGGTAGATGATAGATTAGAAGATAGATGGATAGATGTAGATAGACAGACAGACAGACAGACAGACAGGGAGGGAGGGAGAGAGAGAGAGAGAGAGAGAGAGAGACAGACAGACAGACAGACAGACAATGATAGATAATTCAGAAAATTCATCTGGGTGATTCTTGCTTACCCAACGTAGCCAGAATTCCAAAACCCACAACGGCTAAAACGGCCAGCAGCCACTTCATCCTGGAAAGACCATCGTCCTCGTCCTCAGGAACTCCCATCACTCGATCGTGGGGCAGCTCCGGCCCCACCTGCTGGATCTCGACGCGGCCTTTCCGTCGACGCAGACCCTCCACGTCGGCCTCGGGGGACGCTGCTTCTTCCCCGACGCTGGAAGCCTTCGGTTCATCCTCGGGGGGACCTGCAGGGGGGGGGACAAGGGAAAGAGGTCCAGGGTCACCTACCCGGTTTGAAGGCCAGGCGGTCACTCGTGGCGGCCACACAGGCCATCGAAGGACGCCCTCCTTGACCAAAGAGAAAGATTCAAAATGGCCCAAAAGCTGATCCACTTTAAAAAGCACCTGTTGGGGTGGATTGTGAGAGGGGGAAAAATTCTTCCTCCGCACGAGGGCTGTCCGTTTTCTTTTCGTCCAGCAATAAGAGAGTAGAAGATTCTTGGCTGGAAGAATCTCTGGAAATGAGGTTGTCTTCTGCCTCGGGACTCTGGGTGGGAAAAAGTGTGGAGGTTTGTCCTGGTTCGGAAGTGATTATTCTTTATCTTTTTGTCTAGGGATCTATAGAGCAGCGGATGGGAAGGAAGGAAGGGAGGGAGGGAGGGAGGGAGGGAGGGGAAAAGGAAAAAAAGGGAATTGGAAAGGAAGGAAGGAGAAGAGAAGGGAAAGGAAGAGAAGGAAGGGAAGAGAATTGGAGGGGAAGGAAAGAAGGGAAGAAGAGAGAAAGAGAAAGAAAGAAAGAAAGAAGAAAGAAAGAAAAAAGAAAGAAAGAAAGAAAGAAAGAAAGAAAGAAAGAAAGAGATGGCTATTTTGTTAGAGAGAGAGAGAGAGAGAGAGAGAGAGAGAGAGAGAGAGAGAGAGAGAGAGAGACACCCATTTAATAATATTAAAAACACGAATCCTGGGTATACACATGTTGTGAAATAGATAAACAAAAACGATCACCAGGATAAAATCATAAACAAAACTGTTTTGTAGATTAAACAGTTTTGTTTATGATTTTATCCTGGTGATCGTTTTTGTTTATCTATTTCACGACATATATACACATATAGATATACAGATGTATAGATATATAATATAAATGTTTTTGTTTGTTGATGCCCCAGTTAATGAAACCCCAGCAGCGATTCACTTCCCAGGAGCCAGGGCTCCTTTTCAAAACGCCAAGTGCACGGAGATTTGGATAAGTGGATTAATTTAAAGGATGGAGAAGCAGTGCCTCTCTGGAGCTGTTCAAAATGTCTTCAAATGCTACAGAGTCATGGCTTCCTCCCCCCCCCCCACACACATGCCCCGGGCCCTCAATTTCAACATTCAACCTCTGATTTCTCTTCTTCCAGATCTGGACTGTCCACGAAAAGCTCAGTCTCGGGCGGAGAAGCTGTTGGGGGAAAAAAAACAAAAACCCACAACTGATTTTGACCCCAGAATCTTTCCATATTCCTCTTTATTCATTTTTAAACCCATAAATGAGATTTTCACTGCCGCAGGAAAGGGCAGAGAGTTAAGGGGAAGTTTGCGGACAACAGGCAGCGTGGGGAAAAAAACTCTCCTCTTCCCTTCCTGTGTCCCCTCAGTGTTAACCATGGTTAACTTGCCTTCCAACTGGGTTTCTTCTGAAGCTTCGCAACCAAGATCTTCCACAGGGGCAGCCTAGAGAGAAAAAAGTGGGTTATAAAAGTTTTTTTTTTGGGAGGGGGACAAAAAACATTTCCAAAATTTCCCCAAATTACCCGAGAATCTTTGAAAGAACTTGACTCGGCGAGATTAGGTGCTGAGTAAGAAAAATATAAGGACCCCTCATTTAAGTCGAGGACTACCTGTCTTTTGGGCTATGCTAGAGATGCATGGACAGCTAAATATGTTCGAAGACAGGCCAGTAAAATGGGAGGGACGAGGAAAAAAAGATGCGGGGGATTTCTTGACATGCTACCTGAAAAGCACCTCCTGAATCACGCTCACCTCTGGTCCTGTGATCACCCAGCTGTTGTTTTCCGTCTCCTGCGAATTTGTGTGTTCAGCCATGCCTTTTCATGCCCTGAAATGCTCAAATATCCACCTGGAGGGAGGGAAGGAAGGAAGGAAGGAAGGAAGGAAGGAAGGAAGGAAGGAAGGAAGGAAGGAGACGACAGAGAAAGAGAGAGGGAAGGAAGGAAGGAGACGACAGAGAGAGAGAGAGAGAGAGAGGGAAGGAAGGAAAAAGATGAGAGAGAAGGAAGGAAGGAAGGAAGGAGACGACAGAGAGAGAGAGAGAGAGGGAAGGAAGGAAGGAAAAAGATGAGAGAGAAGGAAGGAAGGAAGGAAGGAAGGAAGGAAGGAGATGACAGAGAGAGAGAGAGAGGGAAGGAAGGAAGGAAAAATATGAGAGAGAAGGAAGGAAGGAAGGAGACGACAGAGAGAGAGAGAGAGAGAGAGGGAAGGAAGGAAAAAGATGAGAGAGAAGNTGAGAGAAGGAAGGAAGGAAGGAGACGACAGAGAGAGAGAGGGAAGGAAGGAAGGAAAAAGATGAGAGAGAAGGAAGGAAGGAAGGAGACGACAGAGAGAGAGAGGGAAGGAAGGAAGGAAAAAGATGAGAGAGAAGGAAGGAAGGAAGGAAAAAGATGAGAGAAGGAAGGAAGGAAGAAAGAAGACGACAGAGAGAGAGAGAGGGAAGGAAGGAAAAAGATGAGAGAGAAGGAAGGAAGGAAGGAAAAAGATGAAGGAAGGAAGGAAGGAAGGAAGGAAGGAAGGAAGGAAGGAAGGAAAAAGATGAGAGAGAGAAAAAAAAATCGAGTTCCTAAAATTCCTTCCAGGTCCTGCCATTATAAGCAGACTAGATTTCAAATTGGCTAAATCAACCTCAAATTGTCTAGATTATTATCATCTTTGTGGCTCTTCTCTGGACACTGGAAAGAGGGCAGAGGAGAGCAAGGAAGATGGTTAGGGGACTGGAGACTAAAACATACGAAGGAATTGGGACTTGCAGGAATTGGTTTAATGAAAAGAAGGACAAGGGAGGACAGGATAGAAGAAAATTTGTACAGAAGGGCTGAGAAATTAGTTCAGCTTGACAAGCAGGGGTGACTCGAGCGGGGAGCAAAGTTTATTGGAAATTGAAGAAGAGGCGTTCGCATTTCTTTCTCTTTGCTTGTCAAAAACGGCCCCAAAAAGCTTGTTTCACTGCTGCTCTATAGCTAAAAAGCTCTTCCAGGGAGACTGACAAACGAGGCGTGTTTTAATGTCTTTAAAAAAAAAATAACAAATGCAACAGCACGCAAGAAAAAAAGAGAGGACGAAGGAGGAGGAAATAGAAAACCCTCAGGTCCCGGGGCTTAAATTTATTGTCAGTAGCTGGAACAGAGAGAAAGAGAGAGAGAGGGGGGTAACCAAATGGCCCTTTTGGCATGTATTTATTGATCAAACAAATAATTAATTCGATCGTTTGTCTCTTTATTTCGATTCATTAAATTTAAACTGCCACCTAGCTCACTCTGACGGTGAGACGGGCAGCCTATCAATTTTTTTAAAAAAATAAATAAATAAAAAAATAAAATAACCTAAGAATAAAAACATCTCTGGCCGGCAGAATTCAGCAGACCTAGTGAGTGGCTCAGTTTTAATTTATAATTTATAAAATAGATACGCCACTCATCCCGCCGAACAGGAAACTCATAAGCGGCTTCCTGACCGAGTCAAAGCGACGAGATAAAAAAACCTTAAAAACAATGACTTATTTTAATTCCGTGCCTTGCCACCCGCCAGAATAGCCTAGGCAAGTTATTTTAGCACCCTTGAAGCTGGGTGAGTTCCAAAAATAAACAAATAAATACAAAAAGAGAAGAAAAAAAAGGAGACAAAGCAGAAATTCTGTCGGTAGCATCATTCCCCCCCCCCCCCCAAAAAAAAGACTCTTAAGAAGAGACGAGAGTGACTTTAATGCCACCCTGGTGGAGCTATTCTAATTCGAGAGAAAATGTCAAGAATCTAAATTATGCTGGTCCCCAGAGGCAGGCGGTTATCCAACCCGCGGGAAACGGAGCTGGCCGAAGTTATAAGGAGCAGCACAGCACTGTGTGTTTGTGAGTGGTTGTGTTATGTGTGTTGGGTAGGGGTGACCCCAACTCAGAGACCTGTTTGAGCCTGGCAGTCTCAAAAGAGAGGCAAAGCCAGCAAAAAAACGAAAAGAGACCAGCAAAACGAAAGCTCCCCTATTAAAAATGTTAGTTTTTTTGCCTAGGAATCTCTTCCTGCTTGCTTACACATTCTTACTCTCCACTCTCCAAAGAACAGCTGTCAAAGCAAGAGACTGGCTGGGATGGGGGGAAAAAAAAGGAAAGAAAGTGATATATTTTTAGCTCTGCTTGAAGGCTATTTAGCAGGTGGAAATGGCTTTGCTGAGCAGAGCAGGGGGGGAGAGAGATTGGGGCCCTCCAGACGCTGGAGAAGGAAAAAAAAAATCTGGTTATTTTAAGTTTGGCACACTGAAAGCTTTGGCTCTCTGCGAAGACCCAACTTTGCATCTAAAATGGAAGAAAGGAATATAAACTTTGTGCTGGGGGCCTGCTCGTGATTCTTAAGGCTGCTTTAGGCCCAGCCAGCCATGCTGGGGAAAGAGGAGGGGGTGTGTGTGTCTGTCTCTTGCATTCAAGAGTGTCACCGACAATGTTTGTGCAAACTGGCTTCATCAAAACCTTGTCAAGCCGTTTTTATCTCTCACCAGCAGAAACCTGCTGTGAACAGACAGACGTCAGCAGGCCCAGTTTTTTCCCTGTTGTGGGGAGAAACTCGGTCACACATCCAGGGGGAAAATTAGCTTTTCTTCCTCCCCCCCCCCCAAAAAAAAGACTATTAGTTCAGAAAGCGCTGGCAGGACAAGAAGCAACAGATGGAAATGAATCAAGGACAGGTCCAACCTGGAACTTCCTGGCAGTGAGGACAATTAACCAGTGGAACTGCTTGCCTCCAGAAAGCATGGGCGCTCCATCACCGGAGGTTTTTAAGAAGAGACTGTCTGAGATGGTGTAGGTTCTGCTGCTTGAGCAGGGGGCTGGACTAGAAGACCTCCAGGGTCCCTTCCAACTCTGCTAATCCTGTTATACCACGTGGATCTTCAATTTCCTTCCAGCCCGTTTTGAGACCTGCCGTTTGGCACCGTTTGCTCGGATGTTCTTTTTGCAAGCTACCCCAAGCGGTTAAGGAGAAGAGGGGGGAATAGATTTTTTCCGCCGCCAGAATTTTTAAGAAGTTGCATTTCAAGGCGCGGCGATGAGCCTTTCCAGCAAAGAAGTGGGGGGGGCTAGAGTTCTCCGCCGTGTGCCTGCGTGCTGAGCAATCATGATTATTGCGATATTATTATTATTTTCACAGCCAGCAACACCATCGAGGCAAGAGCCAGGCCGGCCCTTCGAAAGAAAACCCACAAGGGTAGCGTCTTTTTCGATGAACACAGTTTTTTTAAAAAATCAATCGATTAATCAATAAAATTTAGCTTTGGTGAATTGCAGCTGATGCCTTGAAGGAAAAACCTGTTAGTTTCCCAGTTTTCTTGCCGGTACTGGTGAACAGGCTCTGCCTTTTACAAAGTCCACTGTGGGGGGGGAGCGATCTTGCTGCAAATAAATGCAAATTCGTTGCATTTGAAGGGAAGGGAATGCAAATAAGCGGCGGGAAGCAAGGGTGAAAACCCAGAGTTAAAAAGGAAGCAAGCTTCTGCCTTTGTTTACAGCGCGAACTTGAAGGCTTCCAGAGAAATACAGAGAAAGGGAAGGGAAACGTCACCAAGCGGTGATACCTCAGACTTGGAGGTGTCGCTTCCTCCAAGGGGAAGGGAGGGTGGGGGGGGGTCTCCTTTGCAAACACTCAAATGGGGAGTCTCTAGCCTGTTGCAAATGCTCAGGAATCCAAGGAAAGCTGGATGTCCCAAAACAAAACAAAATTAAACTAAACTCAAATAATGAATCTAATTTTCCAGCCCGAGAAAAAAAAACAATAATAAAAATAGTAACATTGGAAGAGAAAAAGCAGCTGGAGCGAAAAGAGGAAGCTTCGCACGTTCACCGGCCCGAAAAAAAACCAGAGGATGCGGGATGCAGGAGCCAAGCATCACCCCGGGACGTTGCTATGGTAACCCTGCAACACCCCGCTTCTTCATCCCTGCTGGACCAAAACCTCCTTTCGAGACTTGGGAAGGGGACTTTCCTGCAGGGAGGGAGGGGGGGGGAACCGCTCTAAGTGGGGGGGAGGGCTTTGTTCCTCTCCCCCTTCCCCTCCCCTTTTGCTCTCCCCCCCCACCCCCCCACCCCATGGCTTACCTTAATCCAGGGGGCGCCCCGTTTGCGCCCAGCCGAGTCGGGGGAAATCCGGACGCGGCTGGCAACTTCGCATCGCCAAAAAGTTCTCTCGGGGAGGGAGGGGGGAGGAGGGAAGAGGGAGGGGGCGGGACTAGGGAAGAGTTCGGAGGCCAATGGCGGGAGGAACGCGGCGCCCGCCGGCCAATGAGAGGCGCGGGGGCTGAGAAAGAGGCGGGTCGGTTCTTTGAAGTTGGGGAAAAGTTGGGGAAAAGTTGGAGAATTAGGGGAGAAAAAAAGAGGGAAGAGCTTGGAGGGGGAGGGGGACAAAGGGGGGGTCGCCCCCCCAGGAACACAGGCCGGGAGCATTGTTGTCAAGGAAGCAGAAACTCCAATTTTTTAAAAAAATAATGAATTGAGTTGTGGGTCTCAAGAATGACTAAGCTGGATAGAACTGGAGAGACAGCAACAGCTGAATTTTTTTTTTTTTAAATTTCCCTATCAAGCAGCTCAGCCCTCAAAGTTTCCAGAGCCTCCGCCTCTCACAACTGCTGGGAGGGGGGGCTGCATAAACTAAGCCCCCCCCACACACACACCAGTAAGATTCGTATCCAGGAAGAAGGTGGGGGGCACAGATGCCAGGGGATCGGCTCCCCTTCCCCCCAAAAATAAACTACATAAAATAAAAAAATAAAGGGAGGAAAGGATCCAAATGCTGGGCAGGAAAGAAAGCTTGGTCAGAGATTCCTCCTCCTAGCACTGATGTGGTTACCTAGCTGGGTCCGGGAAGGTCTTGCAAGGAAACAACCCAGCTCAGAGAGCACCAAGGATCCCTTACTTCTTTTCCTTTTCTTTGTTGTTTCCCTTCCTTCCTTCCTTTTCTCCTTCCTCCTTCCTCTCTTCTCCGCATACCCCTCTCTCTTCCAGCACTGATGATGCTACCTAGTTGGGTCATGAAACATCTGCAAGGAAACCACCAAGCTCAGAGAGCATCAAGCATTTATTTTATTTTCCTTCCTTCCTTCCTTTTCTCCTTCCTCTCTTCTCCGCATACCCCCCTCTCTTCCAGCACTGATGATGCTACCTAGTTGGGTCATGAAACGTCTGCAAGGAAACCACCAAGCTCAGAGCATCAAGCATTTATTTTATTTTCCTTCCTTCCTTCCTTTTCTCCTTCTTCCCTTCTCATTCCTCTCTCTCTGCAAACCACTCTCTCTTCCAGCTGATGATGCTACCTAGTTGGGTCATGAAACGCCTGCAAGAAAGCCACCAAGCTCAGAGACTACCAAGGACCCCTCTCATTTCAACTCCGAGCTGTAAACATTCTACTTTATCAGTTCTTCCTTCTCCAAGTTAACCGACGGCAGCAGGGTTCAGGAACAGGCAGGTGCCCCTGTTGCGTGGAGAGGGTCTCCCAAGACAGGCAGAAGTCTGCAGGGTGAAGCCTGACCTGACATCCAGCATTGGCAAGTTAGAAACGTCAAGACACCAATTTTGGGTGGAAAAACCCAAAGAAACGGGTGCTTTGCCGGTCAGCAGCCTTCACACACTCCAAAAACCACATTAGCAAGGTCAGGAATATGGGTTTTTGGGAGGCTTTGCCAAAGGAACGATCAAAATTCACCGCACGGATTCAGGCCTTGGTGCCCTTTTCCAGCCAGAAAATCAATTTTCTCCCTCCGTTCTCGGCTGGATCCAGGAATTTTCCGTCCCGTTTGGATTTGTCTCATTCCCCCGGCCAGCAGAACGCAAACCCCTGATCTTGAGTCCGGCGCCAGGGTGCTTTTTGTCCCTTCTGGCAACACAACTGCCCTGGCACACAATATCGGTTGCTTGGTGCACATTCTCCGGACGGGATGAAAGGCATAAATCTGTCGGAAGGGCGCCAGGGGAGAACAAATGCAGGGACACACGAGCCTTTTCAAAAGAGCCCAGCACACCGTGGTCTCTTTTTTGTTTGTTTGTTTTGTTTGTTCTGGACTGAATATCCTGGACCAAAATTTATTTATTGCCTTCCCTCCCTCTCTCTCTTTCTCCCCCTCCCTGCGTTGGGATAGAGGATTGAATAACCAGGGCACTTAATTCGGGGGGGGGGGGGGGGGGGGTTGTTTCTCCAAACTTGGCAACTTTTTAAGACTTGCGGACCTCAACTCCCAGAATTCCCCAGTTGACCTTGCCTTTGCTGGCTAGGGAATTCTGGGAGTTGCAGTTCACACACGTTTGGAGACCCCCTGACCCGAGTTTACAGCAAGGCTGCATTTGAGACGGGCTGGGTTTGAAGAGGACATAAATCGACTTGTTTGCAAACTGCCAATTTGACCCAGATGCCGAGTTGTCTCTAGATTCAAGGCTGACAACTCTGTGTGAACTGTGTGGGCCTTTTGCTTCGTTGCCTCTCATTCTCTATTTACCCCCCCCCCTTTTTTTTTAACCCACCTTTGTTTTTATAAATAACTCAAGGCACCAAACATGACCTAATAATCCTTCCTCCTTTCCCCACAACTAGCCTGTGAGGATGATTGGGCTGAGAATGAGGGACTGGCCCAAAGTCACCCATTTGGCTTTCGTGGCTAAAGTGGGATTAGAACTCAGTACCTCCTGGTGATTGGACCAAAGTCACCCAGCTGGCTTTTATGCCTAACGAGAACTCACTGTCTCCTTTATTCTAACTTGGTGTCCTAACCACTAGACCAGGGGTAGGCAACCTTGGCTCTTTTATGACTTGTGGACTTCAACTCCCAGAATTCCTGAGCCAGCAGGGGGGAAACTTTGGCCCCTTCGTGACTCGTGGA